ACACCTATGAGAAACTATAGAAAAGTTTAGACTAGAATTGTCCTTAAGGGCTTGTACACATGATGGTGCAGAGACGTCAGTTTTTCTGCACACGTTCTGCAAGGGCACAACAAAATTTATTGTTCTCTATGTGTCCTGTTCACACCACAACACTAATATCACGTGCAGCCATTTTTTCTGCGCAGGCATCTGCAACGTGTAATGAACTCATTGCAGCACGCATGAAAATCGATGTCTCTGCAAGTGAAATCTGACCGTCAGTCTCCACCAGTTTTCATGCATGTATAGTGTGAACAAGCCCTTAAAAGAGTCCTCCGTGTATGGTGTAAACGAGCCCTTAAAGGAGTCCTTCACTCTTATGCACTAAGTGATGCTGTGAGTTGAGCCCATTATAATCATCAACAAGGGCGGACTGACCATTTGGAAACTTGGGCACTGCCCGAGGGCCCGGGGTCAGTAGGGGTCCCATGAGATGCCCCTGGTACCTTTTTCATAGGCTTTTTTGAGTTTGGGCAAGGACACAGGGGCCCCATGATCCCCTATTGCCTGGGGGCCCCATGAGTTGTCAGTCCGCCCCTGATCATCAATATAAAACAATAAAGAGAAGGGTCTATGTCAAGGGTGTACAACCCATGGCCCATGGAGCCCTCTGATGTGGCCAGTGAACTCATGCCATGGGATTGCAGGTCAGCACAGATAGCGATCAATGGGTTTCCAACCCTGCATCTCAGAGCATCAGAGCGCATGGAGCTGGTGCTAGCAGTGGAGGAAGCAGGCAGCTGCAGAGGGAGCAGGAACCGCATAAGCCAATGTTTCCTCTGTGGTGCTGGCTCCTGTCCCAGGCGGGGTAATACCAAGTGAACTTCACCTGGGACCTTACTAGCAGCCTAGTGATGCCAGCAGAAGCTGGAAGAGAAAATGGATAGTTTATTAACCATCACATCGTTTGCAATGGGCTTATTAGCACTTTTAAAAATGGATTATTAAGCTGTTTTCACACTGATCCACAGGTGCAGAGTGGTGTGGGTTAGCTGCACTGAGCCATAGACTTCTAATATATCCTGTGGATTTGGTGCATTCTCCGAAAGTACAACAAAACTCCCAAATGCGGGAGTTTTGGTGCACTTTCAGAAAATGCACCACACCTGCAAGATATAATAGAGGTCTATGGAAAAGTGCAGCTAGCCTGCAGAAAAGTTGCAGGGGCATTGCACCTGAGGTGTGGGTAAACTGCAGTACATTAGTGTGAAGGCAGCTTTATGGGGGGCTCAAGACAGCAAGGGCTTGCTTATGTTTGCAGGTTGTTGTTTTTTTTTTTTTTTTTTGGGGGGGGGGGGTAAAACCCCATAGTTGAGGCATGTTTTTACCATCCACCCAACCACTGTTAAAGTGTCACTGGTTGCAATGGCAACCCCCTCCCCATGCACCAGGGGGTCCCTGTATCCTCCCTGTCACATTCTGTTTCACACTTGAGGGGCAGCATATAAAGAAACCAATTATTTACAATTTCCTCCTGTAACCACTGAAAGCCAGCTTCTCCTCCTCTCCCTCCCATCAGCTGTGGGAGGAAAATTATTGTTTAATATGCTATTCAAAATATTTAAAAAAAAAATCAAAATTTGGAACCATTTCATTTCATTGTGGTCACTTGAGTGGCCCTCACTCTTCAAAATGTTTCGTACCCCTGGTTTATGTAATGACATCTCAGTGGTTTATTGAAGATTAAAGTGTTACTAAACCCCGGACCCTGCATTCACTCTATCTGGTTTCTCACAGTACACAGAACATGGAAATGCAAATACTGTAGTAAATATAAACTGCTAAACACCTTTTCTCATCAGCAGTATATAGCAATCTTGTGACTTCTATCAGTGTCCAGCTGAGCACTGGTTAAAGGTTGTAGGAGGAGTTTTCATTCTCCCCTGATTGTCCTATGAGACTGCATAACCCCTGAGCCTCTGTCTGGACAGGGCTGATTGGCACTGTGCTGATCACATGCACGCTCCCAAAGAAAAAAGCAAATCTCTAGCAATACACACTTGACTGAGCATGTGTAGATTGACTCCTAGAGCTCAGCAGATGGATTGGGGACATCAGAAGAAGGGGAGTATCAGAGAAAACAGGATCAAGAAGCTTTTTTAGACAATGCAGAGGATTAACCCCTTAGGTTTCACAGTGAGTATAACAAGCATGCTTTACTGCATATACAGACTTATGTGGGTTTAGTAACATTTTATAGCATGCATCAGTAGTGGTCATAGAACACCTTGATGTGTTTCGCAATGTGCTTAATCAAAAGACCATATTGTTTCCCTCCATAGACCTTATAACCATAAGAAGAAACAGGTTTTTAATCTATTTTTCTAAAATATAATTAGCATGCAAACCACCAAAAAGTTTCCCAGAAAATTTCGAAGCTAGTCAACCCAAAAAAACAAAACTGAGTTTTTTGTTGCATACATTTGGAAACACATCCAAAGCCACACTACTGCATCCGAAAAGGGTAGTTACCTGGAGACAGTCCCATTTCTTCTTAACCACTTGACGACCATGTTGTAGCTGAATGACGATTACAGCGCAGTTGTGTAGTTCTGGGAGGGCGTCATATGACGTCCTCCAGAACCACGCCTCCAGCGTTTTTTTTTTTCAAAAATGTGTTTTTTTGTTTATTTAGCAAAAAATAAAAAACCCAGTGGTAAATAAATACTACTAAAAGAAAGCTCTATATGTCTCAAAAAATTATATAAATTTCATATGGGTACAGTGCTGCATGACCATACAATAGTCATTCAAAGTGCTACAGCACTGAAAGCAGAAAATTGGCCTGGGCAGGAAGGTGGTGAAAGTGCCCAGTAAGCAAGTAGTTAAAGTGGATCTAAACCCTCCTATCCTTTGCAGCCAAAGAAGCTGCCATATTGCCATGGTGCTTCACATGTGATCAGTTACGACACCCGCCATTTGAAGGCTTGACAGTTTAGCACAAGCCAATGTGACGGTTGTCATTCACTGCATGCCTTGAATGCAACTGTTTTGGGATACAATTAAATTGATCGGTTTAATTTCATTTTTAAAGCACTGCAACACACCTGCAAAGGCCAACTTGGTAGCTGAATTAGACCCCAAGTGTGTGTTTGTTCCAAAACCAATGTAGAATATATAATTAATTCACTTTGTGTAACTCCAGCCAATGTATCATATTAGTTTGCAGGTGATTCTGTTATCACTGATCTGATAGTGTTAACACTGAGTTTTTCTGATATACGTATTAAAGATCCTGAATGAGGCTTGTCAAACATAAGCTCACATTTGCAAGGTACAAATATGATAAAATAAGCATGTATGTTTAAAGGAAATATAATTAAATACAATACATACACAGCCTGACCTATTTGCATTTTCTACATTGTCATCCTGCATGCTCACAGTAAACATCAAATACTCTGTGCTGTATCTACAGCTAAATAGCTGATGGCATTGAGCTGTGATGCTCAGATAAATCATCTAATATTCATTTTCCAAACAAGAATTGACAAAAGAAGATATTTGTCATACATTCACATGCACACAGGTCAAAATTTACACCGCACAGGCCTTGGGCTCTCATATGTCCTGGTTTTTGAGCATTTGGTTTTTTTACCACTGTAATTCCAAGCTGTAAATGTAACATTTCCAAATTATTTTTAATACTTACCGGTACATTGGTATATGTACCATAAATGGTATATATCAATTGGATATATTGTGCATATCCTTGATTTGTCAACAGACCGTTACAACAACCACAGGAGACGGTTCCAGTACTGTAGTATGCATGCCACTCATACAACCACAACATGGAATAAATAGTGCACATTTGGGTGGGAATGTGACTTTCTTTTTAAACAATCTTCGTGCATTATCATCTTTTAGCAATACAAGCACAACCCTGGCGACTACCTATTACATAGCGCATTTGAAGTGTAACTAAAGCTAAAACTTTTTTTTTCATTTTGAATAAAGTTATGGAGTTACGGGTTAAAACCTCCATCAGCTTTTTTTTTTTTAACCATCTGTGTCCCATTGGGGGAATTCCATTCATTTCCTGTCCCATAGCCAAAACAGGAGGTAAGATAAAATCCCTCCAAAGCTGAAGAATCCCAGGGTGTCACCAGGGTTACCAGAACCAGTGTCTCCATTGGAATATTTAACTTTTATTCGTGTTCTGATGTCAACCCAAAATTTAGGATTTTCTTTTACTTTCACTTTCAATGAAAATGGTAAACAGGACACATAGAGAATGTGAATCTCCCTAATGGGGCCATAGACAGCAATAAATGTCTCTCCACTCTGTCCAAAACTAGGAAAAAAAATTGCCTTTAATTATACTTTAAAAACCCAATAAGTAGCACAGTGTGCATGTTAATCAAATATACAGGTTACAAGTTGACCACTTTTTTGCTTCAGATTTTCACTTTGTATTTAAGCCATCTACACAATGGAGCTGATTTTATAAAGGCGAATAGGCTGTTTGCTCTGTAAGGGAACGTTCCCCTTAGCTTAGAGAAAATTTAGCAAAAAAAAAAAACAATCACGTACAAGGACAAACTATTTTTGCTTGCACATGATTGGAACATGGAAGGCAGCAGAGCTTCATCTCATTCACTAAACTAAAAGACATTTCCCATGTAAAGTGAAAAATGTCTCACAATTTTAACAGCTTGTTTGTCTGTTTTTACATCACCCCTATGATCCCATGTTTCATTAAAAATAGATATTAGGGTTTATTTACTAAAGCTGGAGAGTGCAAAATCAGGCTCACTTTTGTATAGAAAGCAATCAGCATTCACGTTTTATTGCCAAAAGATTAATCCCTTCCCAACCACCCTATGGCAGAACTACTGCTACAGGGTGGCAGGGCTACGCAAAATCAGGTATATATATGTGATGTTGCATTTCCAGGTAGGGGGCATGCCCGTGTGCCACCCTACCTACACCACCATTGGCGACTACAGCGGGAGCGATCACTGGGTCCCGGCTGGATATTCCCCGCCGGCACCTGGTGATCGCCAAGGAACACTGACAGGGGAGAGGTCTGTATGTAAACAATACAGATCTCTCCCCTGTCAGAACCAGGATTCTGCTTTGTATTGCTCTGCACAGCAGTGCAATACAAAGCAGCGTGCTTACACAGTAAAACACACACAGGCCACATAGTAAATACAACACAGGACATGGTCAACCCTTGCCCCAGATGTTAACCGCTTCCTGCCTAGTGTCATTAGTACAGTGTCAGTGCTTTTTATTAGCACTGATCACTGTATTAGTGTCATTGGGATGTCAGTGGCAGTTAGTTAGTTCCCCCCCAGTATCAGAATGCCTGCTACAGTCCCGCTATAAGTAGCTGATCGCCACCATAACTAGTATAAAAAAAAAAATTCCAGTATATATAGATGCTATAATATTCACGTAAACCAATTAATTTACACGTATTGGGATTTTTTTTTAGCAAAGACATGTAGCAGAATACATTTGGCCTACATTTATGATGAAATTTGATTTTGTAACATATTTTTTTACTGGATATGTTTTATATCAAAAAGTCAAAAATATTGGAGTTTTTTTTCAAAATTTTATTTTTTTGGTTTGTAGCACAAAAAATAAAAACCGAATAGGTGATTAAATACCACCAAAAGAAAGCTCCATTTGTGGGAAAAAAGGACATAAATTTAATTTGGGTGCAGCATTGCATGACCACGCAATTGTCAGTTAAAGTAGCGCAGCGCGGTATCGCAAAAAATGGCCTGGTCAGGAAGGGGGGGGGTAAATCCTCTGGGAAGCAAGTGGTTAACTGAACAAGCTGAGCTTAGAGGCTGATTGGTATCATTGTGTTGGTCTAGGTAGAATGCTTCTACACAATTCTAAAACACAAACATTACAGAAATATTTTACATCAGTAACCTTCAACACCAATATGAAAACAAGCCTTTTATTACTACTCTGTAGTGCTGGGACATATTCAGGGACATTTATCAAGCAAATTCACATCAATTGTAGGCACAAACCTAACTGCCTGTAAGCAGATTCTATGCAACAGGTTTTAGGTGTATTTATAAGTCCTGTGTCTGTAACCCTATCCTGGGCAGCAACAGGTCTGAAATAAACTATTCAGTAGAAAACATCCTTCTGATCAAGATGTCACAAATAATGGAAGCAAACCCTGCAATAGAAAACGCTGCAAACTGCACCAAATCAATCCATCAAAAAGTGTCAGACACTCAAAAGGGATCTTCAATATTTCCCGATCATACAGCTGTACCTCCAGTAATGTTGTGTACCCTATCCAGTGCAGAAAATGCAGCAAAGGATCTCATGTTGGCGAAACAGGACAGAAGTTGCAAACAAGGATGAATTTGCACAGACATACCATCAAGGAACATAAAGAAGATGACTTCTGCACACCTGTGGGACACCATTTCGCACAACCAGGCCACACAATGGGAGACCTCAATATTTTAGTTCTTAAAGGAAATTTCAAATCCATTCAGGAAAGAAAGACTTTTGAACTAAGAATGATAATTCTATTTGACACAAGAGATAACGGCCTTAATTTGGACATGGGATTCCTCAATCATTATCCAACAGTTTTATGACTATCAGCTCAAGCTTGACTCCCTCTGTGATGTGAGTGTAGTCTCCCCCCCCCTCTGCTTTTGCTGTGTCTTATCTCTAGCCTCTTTTTTTTTTTTCATCTCTTCTAACATTCTGCTAAAACTTTGTGATTTGTATAGTACTGCTTGGACCTTGAAGAAGGGGACATACACCGAAAGCTTGTCCTCAAAATTGTATGTTAGTGCAAATAAAAAAAGTATCACAGACAGTACTCAATTGTTTCTGTTGCAAATGCACTAATATGGCTACAATCACCTTTTGCTAAAAGCAGAAATACAATCAAGAAGTGGTCTGAGGAAGATTTTTTTCTTTTGCAGTGCTAATTTAGCAGAAGAGAAATTTTATGAAAGAAGCCGCCTAATTATAATAAATCTGTCTCAGGTGACCCCTGTCACTGGGTCATAAAGTGAAGGGAGATCCAAAATTTTACAAACTGCAATGGGAACACCCAGGGCTGGTGCAAGCATTTGTGTCTACACAGTTGAAGGTGCATTTTGCCACCTCCCAAAGCCCCTCTGAAACTATTGCTGGCCCTGATCTTAGTAATGACCTCGCCCTTACTAAGGAGGCTGTGTGTTTGCACAATTAACAAAACAACATCTGTGCATGTTCTGCCTGGTGAGAGAGAGGGCACAAGCAGAGTTAGGGAACCAAAGACAGGAATTTTAAACTGAATCCCCAGTAGGTGGCTGAGAATTCAAATATTACTGCCCCCCCCATTCTGGCACCTTAAGGCAGCTGCCTAAGTTGCCTTATGCTGGCACTGGCCCTGGGGACACCTGTCACAGAGACATCTATCCAAGGAGGGCTTTCTCCTCACTTTGGAAAGGTATTCTCTCACTTTTTATACTGTCTCTTAGACCAGAAGTGAAGGGAAATTGAGGTACCAATATCAAATTTCCTTTCCTGCTCTGTCCAAAACAAAAATGTTTGGCTCCAGATATGCGTTATATTGTATCACTATGTATCAGGCCACTCCAGACACATAGATGCTCTTACATATGTCACATCCATGGATTGCCCAGAATAGTACTGTAGGTATAATGGTGTATTCAGGATTATTTGTACAGACATATCTATGTGTATACAGTTGTTGACTTTATTTACACTGAATTGGTGTGTATCATTTTCTTTGTTCTATTACTTTGTCTTCAGAATCTATTTGCAGACACATGCAAAACTCAATGCAGACATTGTGCTGCCCTAGTCCAGAAAAGTGGAAAAATAATACAGAACCCATAGTGTTATCTTATTTGTATATTAAGTATTGAGAAGGATGTAAATAATCTGGATCCTGGGCAGTCGCCTTCTACAACCCATGTGGAGGATCTCCACGGTCTCCTCGGTTTGTAGTGTAATTTAACAATAATGAAAATTTAAGCACCACACCACTGCTAAAAGGTCCAGATGCAACCTTAGGGCCAGTTTACAACAGAATGCAGTGCTGGGAACCTGGGTTCTGTCCGCATTTCCCACATCGCATTCAAAATGCACTGGGTTTATTCCTAACGACACCCCCAAACGCAGTATGTTTTCCTGCATGGGATTGCATGGTACTGCGGCACATTTTTCCTTTCAATAGATTTTTATTGGAAATTTTTTGTTTTTAGAAGATACAATTGCAACCACAGTCATGTATACAGGTGGAAGTATGGAATCAATGACTGACAAGTCAAATGCGGTCATGCATAAAACAGTAAAACTGTTGGTATGTCAGAAGGTACATTGATCATGTCATAACAATGAAACAATGTGGATAACAGAAGAAAAACTATATGCCTATAACACAAGATCAGGGGTTGGTGAGGGAGATATGTGTGTATAAAATTCACTGAGCAAAGGATCAAACAAAGGAGTATATAAGAACAAACCGTAAATTGTTCCTGCGGGAGAAGAAGAGGAAAAGAAAACAAGAAAAGGGAAAGAAGATCTGGTTGTAGTACATTTTTCAAAGTAGTGCATACACTACTTTTGGCTTGATTCATTGCAATTTCAGCCTATTCAAATGAACGGGCTGAAAAAAATACTGCATTGAACTGCACAAGACTGCAGACCACATTCCTGTGCGATTCAGGTGTACACTGGCTATTATTCCAATAAAAGTTAGGGGGACAATCCAGAGTATTGAATTAATTTGGAGGTACAAAAACACCCCCTTCTTCTGAGTTATAAAAACAATAAAGACATCTCCATACCAATACAAAATCAGTACAATATCCCCTCATCTGGGTCATAGTTAAAATCAAACACATAATAGCCAGTAGTATTGGATGTATAAACAGTAATGTTAGGTAACATTGAATAGCTAATAGATATACAAGAACCACAGAAAAATGTGAGAATCTGAATAATAGTATGGTACATTGTATGTTTTATGTATTTTATTATTCAGATTCTCACATTAAGCAGAGGTTCTTGTATATTGCTTATCCAGTCAATATTACTTGATCTTAATCTTTATGCATCCAATACTATTAGTTATTGGGTATTTGTTTTTTATTTATGATAGTTATATGGAAATGTCTTCATGCTTTTTCTAGCTCTAATGAAAGGGGCATTTTTGATCTGCAATGCAATGGAAACTTTTTGGATTGTCCCCCTGACTTTTTTCTTAAATGAAGTCACATATGAACCTTTTATCAGTGGTGTGGCACTTACATTTCCATTTTTGTTACATTCCACTATGCTGCCCTAGGCACATGTGAAAGATGATGCCTTTTTTCCTAAAAGCATCTTTTTTTTTCTCACATTTGCCCATGCATGTATGCGTGAACCACACATTTTAAACAGAGGAAATGTAGATGGCCTCTCTCTCTCTCTCTCTCTCTCTCTCTCTCTAAATATATATATAAAGTGACCATCTAAATTTCCTCAGTTTAAAATGTCAAATAAACATCAGTTTAAGGATAAAGGCCCACTTTAACTGAATGGTATCCCGTGGGGGGTTATTTTGAGATTACAATAGAAAACCACTGTCAGGGCTGGAGCACACCACAATTTCTGAGTTCTAGATTCATTTCTGCATGCATTTTTTTGATGCATTCTGATGTATTTTTTTTCTCTTTTTATACTGATCACAATTGAGGATATTTGTGTTCCAGTGCGTTTCTAATGCATTTTGCCGCGATCCAGATGCATTTCATACAGAAAAAATTGCAACAGGTTCCACTTTTGTTGACTGCACTAGAACACACTGCATTGGTGTGAACTAGGGACACTGGAATCCATGTTAAACACTGTCCATGTATTTTTTAATGCAGAATAAAAATACACTGAACTGCATCTGGTGTGTACCAACCCTCAAGCGATTTACAATATATATTTTTTAAATAAAACAATACAACATAAACCAATATATAACACTAACATGATAATAACAACTAATAATAAACAACTCTCACAAAAACAAGCAACACCTTTTGCACTTGTATTTGTTCTTTTTTTTTCTTTTTTTTTTACTGCAGGGACTTAAGAATAAACAAGAAAGCCTCTGACAGATCCAGGCTAAACTTGTCTACATTTATTTTAAACAGTTTACTAACAGCATGATCAAAGCTGACAATGTTCCTGTAAACCTGGACTTTCACAAATCATTACATCAGTTTGCTTAGCACAAATGTGCAATTTGCTGGGGGGTGACACCTTATTTTGATTATATAACAACAATGCCCTTTAGAGGAAGAGCTGCCTGTTTCATCAACAAAATATTACATGCAGACATGCAGG